TATATATGGATTACTTTAGCTTTTTCCACTGGCAGCAGCAGTTTTTCCTAAGCATTTCAGTTTTATTTTTTTTATTTTTAATTTTTTACTTTTATTATTGCCTCTTTGCCGCTGCTTCTGCTGCTCTAAACGGAGCAATGATTAATGATTTGCCGGCGCGAGCGATGCAAAAGGAGCAGTGAACACAGCAGCAGCAGCAGCAGCTAAGAAAATCCGACAATTCATTCATGTGTGCACGAACTTCATGCGTTGCATTTGTTACACATCAAAAGCGAAAATGCCATATGTGCATATGTATGTATGTATGTATGTAAGTATGTATGTGAGTGTGTAGTTAAGCTGAAGAAATCAAGTAATCGAAATTTTTTACACTTGATTAAGGTGAATGTGAAAAATTTGAATTTACTCCCGCTGACGTTGCGTTGCCATAACTCCAGGGGCGGTGGTTGTTTGTTGCTGCTGCTGCTGATTCAGCTACTCCCAAAAGGCGCTGTGCAATCAGTTTTTATTTATGCAACTAAATTTGTTTACCAACCACTCCTCCATGCATACCTTCATACCAATCGTACGAACCTTTATCCATCGTCGTTGCGCTCCTTACATTGCGCTCCCCCTGTCCTACCCTCCCTAAGCCCACAGCTCTACTTCACACATCAATCGTTCATTTGACTTTTGAAGAATTTTCTTCCATTGTTTATTGACTGCCGGGTTGACTGGTTGGTTTGACTGCTTACTTGTGATTGCCTGTGATTTTTACTTTTACACTTTCCTCGAGTGCGTCATTTTTCATGTCATGCATCGTTGAAAAATTTCCTTTTGTTTCGTTTTTGGTAATGCACGCCGATTGATTGCGATTAAACGCTGTGATATATGTATGTACATACATACATATGTATGTATGTATGCATTTGTTTACCCCATTATTTTTTTCGTTTATTTTGTTTACTTATGGAATTTTCGTTTTACGCTGATCAAAAATTATAAAAATTGTGATAGCAATGCAACAGCGTGGCTGATATACTTATGCGCTCCGCACAAAAACAAAGCCAAAAAAAGAAACAAAATACATAGAATCATTTTTCATGGTAAAAGGGATATTAATGTTTCAAATGGTGTTTACATAGGCATTGGCTTTTAATAAGTTCGTTAAAATTAAGGTACTTTATCTTCGTACGAAAAGATGATACTGGCTGTAGATAACTTTTAACTCTCACCTTTTAGTGAGACTGCTAAAAAATGAGAAATATTCAACAGTTTGGTCATGGCTTTGAAATTATTGACGTGGTTATAGCCGTGAAAAATTGCACAAAAGAGTAAGAAGAAGAAAGCGTTGTGGAGCTGGATAGCTTTAAATTTGAAATTATGTTTGTATTTATGTACTTAAGAGGTCGGCTTGAATATCTGCATCGAGTTGAAAAGAAAGCTCCGCCGCCAAAGTGCCCAGGCTACTAAAATGTTACACCGAAACTACAGGCAGATTACGAATTTCTCAAAACAGAAAAATTCAAAATAATACAGCAATAAATGAGCCGTTTATTTTCCAAAATGGCATATGTCACTTCGTACCTCTTGTGCCTAAATGGTCCAACGAATTGATAACCCGCTCCTTCTTTGAAGTCGGTTAAAAATACAAAACCAGAACAAAAAAAGAAAAAAAAATCGATAAAAATATCAAAAAATAAGTGCGCCTGTGATAAAGTGTAGTTTCCTTCGATTGATTTGTCTCACGCTAATATCAAAATTATCATTAGTTTAAGTCTTCTTCTTCATATTCGTCTTTGTATTTGACTTTGTGTTTGTATTCGTTAGCACATTCGTCTTCATTTTCATATTCGTCTTCGTATTTTCGTATTCCTATTCGTATTCCTCTACACATTCGTCGTCGTGTTCATACAATAAATCGTCTTTGCTTTCTTATTGGCCTTCGCATTTGCCTTCGCAGTCGTCTTCGTATTAATATTCGTATTCGTCCTCGTATTCGTCTTCGACTTTGTACTTGTTTTCGTACCCTTATTCGTTCTGGATTTTACATTCGTCTTCTTCATCTTATTCGTTTTCGAATTCGTCTCCGTATTCGTCTTCGTGTTTTGTCTTCGTGCTCGTATTCGTAGTTATCTCGTATTCACCTTGGTATTTGTAATCGAATTCGTCTCCGTAAATGTCTTCGTACTTATTACTGATCGTAATCGTCCTACTATTTGAGTTCGACTCTGGGTGGTTTTAATGTAGGTTTTAGAATTTGTTTTCATGTTCGTTATTCGCGTTAGTCGTCGTATCGGACTTAGCAAGGATATTCGTATTCGAGCTCCTGTTGATTTTCATCATCATATTCGTATTCTTCTTCATATTCATATTAGAATTAGTCTCCGTATTGGTATTCATCTTCGTATTCGTATTCATCTTCGTGTTCGTCTTCGAAGCAAAAAGGGGGGTAAAACCAACCATATTTTAAGTCATAAGTAATCTCGTCATCTATAGAAAAATATTTGACATTCTTATGGTGTTTTTGGAGTCAAAATCGGTCCAGCACAACCGTCAAATGAAGGCGGCCAAGATTTATGTGAGGCTATTAAAACGAGTATAGAACACGCTTTAGATTTTAATATTTATTTTGAATATAAAACTAATTCACAAAGGAAAACTGCAGGATGGTTTACTTAAATTAATTATTAGAGAAAATACTTAGAGTTTACGATGTTGCGTGTTCTACCCGACGATTGCGATTCGTTCTCCCTTCTGAATCGTTCGTATGTATCTACCCACTGACAGTTGTCGCAGTGTTGCCGTCTCTCACGTTGGTTGCAGGGTTACCGTCGCTTACACGAGTATAAGTTATTTTGATAAAATTTTTAGTTCTGCGATATATTTTCAAAACCTTTCGCATTTTGAAGGATTATGCCAGCAAAATAATAAACCGATTCGCTCCATGGAAGCCCCCCAATCGAGGATTACTAATCGAGACCATATTTCTTTACAGGAGTCGTCTCATTTACGGGATCCAAATTGAATGAAAATGTTTTCTGATGCAAAGTTCATAATCCGTTTGATATTTGAGAGCCTTTCCTTCCGGTTATAAAAGTGGCAAGAGAGGACAACACCTCTAGAACAGAAAACCTCTAGAAAAGAACCAAACGGCAAGAAAAGTTTTGAGAGCAGTTTGTCCGGGGAAAAAAATGAGAACAACAGAACAAAAGGTTCGGGAACGTTTCCGTAAAGAACTAAATGCTAAAAAAAACTCTCGGGAACGTTCTCAAAAAGAACAAAATGAGATCGAAACTCTCAAGAATGTTCTCAAGAAGAACAGAATGAAAACGAAACTTTCGGGAACATATCCAGTGAGCGCAAAATTAGAACGAAAGTATCGAGAAATTTTCAAGAAGTTTTAAATAAGAAAATAGTTTAGGGAACATACTGCTAGAACACAAACCCGGAATAAAGGTTTTGAGAACCTATTGCTTAAAATGTTGGGATGAAACATCATTTCAATGAGAACCATTATCGTTAAATCTAAGCCAGTGGAAAGCTGGATATTTTCAACTAACAGATCGTTTATCATTAAGTTGAACTGTCAAATTTTTCATTTTCTGTGCAAGAAAAGTTCGTGTCTTAAGCCCTTCGTTGATTTAATTTGCATAATTATCTTTCAGTTATATTGTAATAAATTTTAATATGTATTCCAATATTTCAACCTAATGGAACGCTATGAGAAAAAATGTGTCCTGGCTTCCATTCTTCGCAAAATGTTCAGTGAAGATTCGTTCCCGTTTCGTTCTTTGTTAGAAAGTGCCTGAGACTCTAGTTCCCAAATTATTTTTCGAGGGAAAGTTACTCCGGCTTTTGTTCTCGCATTTTTCTTTGCCAGAATGTTCCGGAGGCTTTTGTTCCCATTTTGATCTCTTAGAAATTTTCCAGAAAGTATTGTTCGCATTTTGTTCTATTTGGGAACGTTCCACAGGGTTCCGTTCTTATACAGTTCCCATTTAGAACGTTCTCGAAAGTTTTGTTCTCACTTTCGTTATTGTAGTAAAACCACTCCCGAAGGGTTTGTTCTCATTTCGGTTTGGGTTTTTAAGCTTTCTTGGGAGCAAAACTACGAGAACGAAATTTCGTTTCGATCATACCTTTTGTTTCTGGTTCCTGGAGTGAAATAATATGGTTTCGTAGATTCAATCTAATTCTTTCCTTATGTTAAAGCCACTCTCTCTATTCAAATTAACTACTAAACAAGCATATTTTTCGTGTGGTTTGATAAGAAGTGGCATAAAAACCAAAGTAGCCGAAACTTGTCTTCATATTCACTAATTGCCTTCAAAATTTTTGATTTTTCTAAATTAGATTTAAAAAACTTAATACTATTACTAACATATTACTTATATTACATTTGTCTTGTTCTTTCACTACACACACAAAGCTGTCATAACTGTTGCTCAACAAAAAAAAATAAAAAAATCTTCACTAAACTGAGCCAAACACGAAACATGCTCCAACCGAAGTCAAATTATGCCAAATTTCTCCCCGCTCACTTCCATTGCTACCGCTCTACACGGGTGTTTTTTTTTTATCAAATATTTCAATAGAAATACATATGTCTTCGAAAAAAAGGAAAATTGTCACATAAAGCAAAAAAAGAAAAATCCACTCTAATGTACTACATGCAAAATCAATTTACTGTAATGTCAGCACAAAACTCACCTGTAACAATTGGCAGCACACAACAACAAAAATTCACTACACTTCAGGTAGGCGCTCGTCTAAGCGGCTGAAGCATTTAAAATGCTTCAAATCCAATTAGCAATACTACGCTGACACGTAAATAATCCAATTCGATTGTGATTTGGTAGGCAAATACTTAAGTATGTAGCACAAAAAATGACAGCTTAAAGCAAATAAATTGTTTGCTTAAGTGTGTATGTTTGTAAACACACATGCACAATAAAAGCACGCGCGCGAAAAATGCTGCAGATGACACTTTAAGTAACTTTTTTATTTTTTTTATTTAATTTTGTCGTTCGTTTTGTTATTGGCAGCACACAAATCACAGACAAGTGACACAAATGTTTATAGCGTCACAAATGTTGCACGTTCTTTTTTTGTTTTTGTTGTGCTAATTTTCTAATATGTTCGTATAGGTAAGCTAATGCGTGCGTTCAATACGTGGACGTTTTTTTTTTTTAGTTGCGTGAAGTTTATTTTTTGTAAAATTATTTACCCCTACGTTTCAGAGGGTGTTGATTGCAAAGCTGAAAAAAAAAAATAAATTTGCTTTAGTATTAAATTTTTTTTTTGAGTTTTGTTGAAATATTTCAGAGAAAACTAGTAAAAATTTATGAAAAATAATACGTCTCTACTGATTTTCATTATGTTTTTGCAAACAAAATTCTTGCTGTTGCCTTTGACGCACTTGCAACAGGTTTAGATTTTCTTTTCAACTGCAATTGTCGCCACTTTGCTATCCACAATTGTATGCCTTGCTGCTATGCACTGCCGCAAAGCCGGTTGCTGGTGCTTGTACGCTAGCAAATATGCACTCATATACATATGTATGTATGTATGTACGTACATATATTGCCAATTGCCGGTCACTGTTGAGGAGGCAGCAAGTTGGTGTTTGCGAGCAATTTTTTTTTCTACTTTGCTGGAAAATTAGCGGGGCGTAAGCACACAAGTACATATGTAAGTATGTATAAGAGAGTCCGTATGAGCGGCCCGGTATGCAAGCTTACATATTTACAAACTTACAAAAATATGAACATACATATACGTACATATATGCAACCGCAGCACAGCTAAACTAGTTGCAGAAAAATGCAATTGTTTTTATGCTATTTTTGCCTCTCTTGTTGTTGTTTACCGATGCTAGTTACTTCTTCTTCTTCTTCTTCTGATCCCTCCAGTGCGCCACCACACTACTTCTCAGCTCCACTCAACTCAACTCAACTCAACTAGTACTACCGTTGAATCAACGAAGCAAATCGCGAATTGTTTGCAGTTGATGACCGCGTCCGACGCAGCAACATCCGTGATGATGACAACAACAGCAGCAGTAGTCTGTGGTAGCAACAACAACATTTGTTTTAACAACAACAACAACACCTGCAATGCTGTTGTGCTGCTGGCAGTGGTGTGCAGTTGGTATCGGTCGGCTTGTGGTGGCCGTATGTGCTTGTTGTGCACTTGACAAAACCAAAGCAACTATAACAACAAAAACAACAACCATAACTAGCACTGCTGCAAGCACAATAAAGTCAGCAACGTCAACGACAATTTAGAATTGCTATTTTTACGGTGCAGCAACATATGCAGATATGTATGTATGTAGATGCAGAAGAGTTTTTTAAATTGTAGGCCTACAGGTGTAGTATGTGAGTGTATGTACATACATATGTGTGCGTGCGATTTGTTGCAACATATTTCAGCGCTTGCTGGCCGCTTTGCGAAGGTGTATAAGCTTGGGGTGTTTATTGATAGGTTTGTTCATCTATGGATTTTTTTTTTTGAGTTATTCATAAACACATGACATGCGACCTAGCTAAATTTATTGTGCTAACCTTTAAAATTCATTCCAACTTAGGCTATTTATAAGAGACATTAAGTGATGTCATGTACAAGAGACTGCATGAAGACGATATTGGTTCTCCGTAGGTTTCCTAAGGTTTTTAAGTCTAAGGTCACTTATATGTACGAGTGCAATCACATAGTAAAAGCTCTGGAATTCCTTCGTTAGTCCACAAAGCTTGCAGTTCGAGTCTATTTTACTAAGATGGTGCTTACCTTCGCTTGCAATAAACTGGCTGGTATCTAGTATCTAATAGTTCTAATACTCTCCAGACGTAGGTTAAGCACTCATTCAGGCACTTTACAAAGGGGCGTTATAAGTATCTGGGACCTATTTCTTCGACATACGATATTGGCCTGCAACCTAATAAACTCCCTCCCACATTCTTAGAAGCTCTGCCTTGCACCCCTTAGATGGACAGCAGAAAGTCAGAGCGCCACCCAGGCTCATTTGGGCACCGTGTTTCGCGAGAATATCAGCTTTTTTTATTGTCACCACAGACCTGTTAACCCTGAACTCAACAGAAGGTAACCTTTTTAACGGTTCCTAGCTTGTCCACACATTTTTTCAACTGTCTAGAAGCCTTGACACCATTTTATATGAGCTCAAGGTTGTTCAAGCTTCCTAGCTATCATTGATATACTTGATGTTTATAGTGGCCGCGTTGGTCGTAATACGAAAATTTTCGTTTTACAAAAGACGTTTTCAGGAATCATCACTTTTTAGCGCTTAATAAATAATAACTTCGATAGCATTGCGTCTGTGAATTGGGCAAACGGGTTCATTTACATATTAACTTAGAGTCTACACCTTTCTTGCTGCTCAGATTCGGAAGTTTCAGGGCACTCCAAAACATATTTCTTTCAATGAGTAAGGCTAGCATAGGTGGAGTGCCTAAGATGATTACGAGCGCCTCTGTTGAACTTTTCCACCTAGATACGGCTATCTCTAACCCTTTGAATGGCCAGAAGGTCCATTTCGGCGATATTCCTCATGCTTGTAAGGTTTTTGATTAGTCTTTGAGCTCTAATTTATAACCCCTAAATATTGCACCGCATTTGAGAACCCAATGAACTTCCCTCCAAATTTAGGCTTGATCAGCTTTAACTTCCTTCGTTTGGTGAATGGCAGGATCAACACCCTATTAGGATTATTGACAAGCCCTTTTCGGCACCCCATTTTACAATTAATTTGATTGCTGCCTGCAGTCATGAGCATATGTATGGTCTACTCCGTATTCCGGAACGTAGAAGGAAGGATCACCCGGTTCATCCGCAATGCCACATGCATTAAATTCATCTTGTCTTTTAACTTTTCTAAGCGTAAACCATTGTCCATAGTAGCATAGCATAGCACCCCTTGAGGGTCTGGATTTAAATATGTTTATGGTTCGTGCGGTTTTTGAAACAGGCATATCCCAAGGATTTTGCTTCATATGAGATCTTGTCACAAGCCCTAGGTATGTATCGAAAAGCACACAATGCTCTATGTTTATACTCAAAAACCCTTCTTGCTTGATACGCATGTTGACTCATCACTACGACTCAAACTTAAGATATGTATGTATATATGCAAGTATCTCGGATAAAGTCAATTAATTTTTGTATGGTTTTAATTGCATAAAAGTTGAGGCTAATTGGTCTATACGCTTTTGAGTGATTATCTAAATTTTCTCCCGCTTTGGGCATGATAAATTTCTTTTATTTTATTTATAATTTTTCTTTTTTTTTTTAATTATTTTATTTCTGTTTTTTTTTTTAAATCTATATATTTTTTGTTTGTTAATATTTTCGCTTTTTTGTAAGCTTATGAACAAGTTTGCTTTAAAATAGGTTAAGAGTGAAAGGAGTAAAAAAAAACTTTGGAAAATGCATCTTAGCGAAGCAAGGGTAGCATATGCATACAGATCCCTGCCAGAAACGTGAAATATCGAGATATGATAAAAATTATGATTGAAAACGAAAGAAAAATATGTATGCCGTCGAAGGCAAAACTTTTAGATTTTCAATTCAAAATTTTTACTTTTCGAAAAAAATATTCTTACCAAACTTTAGTCTAAACCACAGTCAGTGATATGTTAAAATCGGAAAACAAGAAATAGAAAATCCGAGCACTTAGTATTAAATGTGCATTTTACCACTGGCATAAGGCAGGAGGTCAAGGTCAAGTTGCTAAAATAACTTGAATTGCTAGAGGGCAGCGCTTATTGGGCGTCTTGAATGGGAAAGTTGTTAGAAAAAGTATTTTCATGGCAGAATTAAGCTAGAAAATTGCCCATTGTTGGCCTAGAGACGAAAAGGTTTTTTTTTGTTTTTTATTAATAGGTACGTGATGTTCTATGTGCTATGTTCCTACCAGAACACTCCAACTATTAAAATGTACCTCTTCTACACAGCCGATTATGTATTAGTTTTTACCCAATAAATTTTTGCGTTGAAGGTCAAGTCGCACACTATCTTCAAAAGAAGGGCAACTCAAACATCATAACCGAAAATATAAGTGCTTGTAGATTGTTCAGATTTAAAGCAATTAATACAAAATATGTAGTTTTGCATTAATTGGAGATAAATCCTACGAATTTAGTTATGCATAAAAATCGACCTGAATTTTTTTTGAGTTGTGCCCCGTTTGAAGAAAAAAGTGTGCGAAGTGGAGATCCCAATACGAATGCCAATTTGCAATGTTGAATTTCAAGAGTACCTCATTGGAGTACAAACACATTCTCAAACAAAATCGCACATTTTTGCTATGCAAAATAATATGAGTTCTTCACTCGAGAAAAGTTTTTTTTAGCTATCCCTTTCATATGCAGAAAAGTGGCGCTCAAGGTGGGGTTTCACTTTCTATATTACTTTATTTTTAAAAATTCTTAGCACCTATTTATATTTATATTTATATTTAAAAAAAAAAATTATTTATTCTGTTTTTGTGTACTTCTGCCAAATTTTACTTTTTTTCTGTAAAACTGCTATTTTCTAAAATAAAAACGAACTAGATTGGTATATAGGTTTTATTTGCTTTTGTTTATTACCATTTAATTTCCTATGAGTTATTTTCCGGAGAACAGCAATTTATTGCTTACTTTTAGTTTATTTCGGAAATTCAAATGTCTTTCAACCCGCTAAACAAATTTCCAACACAAATATTGATTTATTAACTTTTGGCCGGATTTTCTCTAAAACACTCTTTTTCATACATATGTACATATGTTTATCAACTATTGTTTATCGTATTTTTTCGTTTTTATTTTTAAAAATGCATGCATTAATTTACAACAATTTAGGTGCCTATGTGCACTCAACTCAATTATTATTATTTTTTTTTTTTAGTTTTTCACTTTGGCACACGCATATTAATTTTTTTCTCACACTTGCACTCGATTTTACTTTACTCCACAATAACTACATACATATGTATCTGCGCGCAGTTGCCTTTCGTCGTTTTCCCAATTTAAATTTTATTGCATTTGCTGTTTTTTTCGTTTTGTTTTAATTTCAAAAATTTATGTTCGTCTTTCTTTTTAATAACAGACACACCGTCGACGTCGCGCCGTCGTTTGCAACTTTTTGACGAATCCGTTTACCATCCGCACATTAACGTAGCGCGCCGCACTTCTGCTTCAATCGATTTGAACCGGTCTCAAGCACTGAATCACACTCAATGGAAACAGGTCCGTCGAAGCTAATATTTTCCGGCACCACACGACACCTAACACATTGAGCCGCTTCGTAGTGAGCTGTACGCGACGCATGAGCTATGTGTTGTGGCCACAAAACCAACACCAGCGGCCGCACTGTGTTCCATTGTTTCGGTTGTAGCTTTTCACTCAATTGCAAGCCCGGAATCGATGGT